CACCCGAAATTTTATCCCGGCTCAACCAACAATCTTGACACACCTCCATCGAACTCTCTATAGTCCACAATCACCAGCAATCAACCGTCCCAAAAGGGCAAAAAAAGCCTGGCGCAAGAATTTCGACATCACTAATGTTAGTGCCGGTCTCGACTTCCCCTCATGATCCGCTACACAAAATATAAATACCAGAGACGTAATCACAGGGTTCAAGGATACAGGAGTTCCCTACATAAATGATAGTTCTTTGGGAGAAAAAAAAAAGGCATCACATACACCCTCACGCTGCAATCCTACCCTCCTACAGCTAATCTTCAAATCGATCTCCCAAGAACCATCTATCCAATCACACGGAACCGAACGTCCACAAACCCATACCGTTCTCACATCCGTAAGTTAGCAATAACGGTTCACGGATATCACCACCCCAAGAAATCTCTCGAATGCGTGGCTAGTAACCAAAGTAATACTAACGGGCACGGCTAGCAACAGTGTATCCGCATAATGTGGATATCTGTGATCGATGCATCGCCCCGCTCTGCGAGTTTGGAGACTTGATCCGGGTAGAGAGATTGTCATAGGCTCTCACTCGGGTTCCGTGTATCGTGATTGGTAGGTTGGATAGAGCGAAAAACGGGGGGAAGAGAGAGGGGGAAGGCGTGATATCCTTTCTTCATGACGATCGTGCTTGCTGGCACGACACCTGAATTCTCAAGCAGCAAAGAATTAAACATGACCACACCACGATCCCATTCTCTCTCTCCCCTTTCCTAATCACATAGTGCCACCACCCCAACCCCCCACAGACCGCAACCGGGCCCACCTCACCCATGAAATCATATCATCGCCACGGTGGAAGCACCGCAGCCCAACAAGACCCACAATACTATTCCCGGGACTACACACGGGTCAAATGAAGGCTGGCCCACAATTACACCGATCTACACCCATGATCGCAATCCAATAGTCCCGGACGCACACAGGATAGACGAAACTCCCTTGCGCTCACATCCCCACGACCCAGCCACACTCCAGCGCCCGCGTACGCCATCCGATCCTCACAGTACTATGAAAACTCTTGAAATAGACCATCAGATTACGAGTATGATCAGCGGAAATCAGCCTATCAGCCCACAATAGGTTCAGCTTGACAGGCCACCTCATTAATTAACTGCATGAATCTCTAAAGTACAACCCACAAACAAACTCCCGTTACCCACTGACCATCCCGAACATTGAACGTCTAGCTAAATGCAAACTTGAAAATTTGCGGGGGTCAAACCAAATGCAAGAGGCAAACTTCCGATTTCACCCAGGATAGAACAGCAAAAGAAAAGTAGTAATGGGTAACAATAGGTGTAATAAATGAGCGCACGGTATCAAGCGACATAGACTACCTTTTGAAAAAGTAAGACTTGTTGCTCCCTTGCCCAGTCCCAGGTCCTGCGCTTTTCTTTTTATCCTCTGGCCTTGGGGTTTTCTATCACTCGGTTAGCAAAAATTCAGTGCCAGTAACAGGGAGTTTAAGTGTAC